TTATCCACTTTTGACCCAATGGCAACTTTTTCACGTTGGTTATAAGTTATTTACTCATGTTCCGTGCACGCAATTTAAGAATACGTTCATTGGGTCAAAAGTAAACTCCCCTTTAGAGTGGTTTTGCATTCAGTTCATGTGGCAAAAAAGGCAGCATTTTCCTTGCGATAGTAACTCCTAGTTTTAGTATAATTTCATAGGTGATTATTTGGAAACAAATTTTAAAATGCACATTTCTTTGTCATTTAATTAACAAAACGGCTTCGACCGCCATTTTGAAAATCGCTTAGGTGATTATCGCGTAATAATCACCTCAACGGCAACCAATCAGCGTGGAGAATTTTCAATAATCACCTATGTAATTATACTAAACACATATACTGGGGCAAAACTTTCCTATGACGTCATACACGTTGGTGAAATTTAGCGAAATGTCTCCCACTCGTGCGGGCTCGTATTGTCAGCGGACATCTTACGCAAACTGGCCAGTACTGTGCAAAATGCAAAATTTTAAATTTTTTACTGCAAATCCGCTGGAAAATGCGAGCCTGCGGTACTGGGAGAAAAATTGCTGAATGTAGCAAGCGTGATAATTGTAAAACAAGAGAAGCGGTGCTTTACAATATATTGCAGTTTATTGCATATTCGCAATCTTGTATCCAGTATATTTAATGGACTTCATTACTTTGAGGGCCCCTTTTGAGTTGGGGGCCCGGGGAAAAATACCCCTTCCCCCTCCCCCTCTCACTTGTCCTAGTAGAAGAAATCTACGCATTCCACTTATGAATTTGAAAATCAGGATGTCTGGCTTTAAATATATTTTAGAGTGACTACAGTGAAACCCGCATGGTTACTCTACGATTTTTCATCTTCGCATACTTCTTGTGTTATCTTGGCAAAGAGTTGAATCAAATGAGATTGGAGGTATATTTTTCTCCTTAATTTTTCGATTTCATAAAATTTTGACCACATCTTTTTCTGAAGTTTGTGTGATAATTTTGAATTTCAAAGTTGGCAAGTTGGTTGTGAATTAAAAAAAAACAACTTAATTTGCAGCGTTGGGAATATTTTCTGGAAATCACGAATTTCTTGGATTTGCCCGTATCTACCTTGTTCCTGACATTCGTTCAACTGCCGAGTACGAAGCCAATTCCCTACTATCGACTGAAGTTTGGTATCGTTGGGATATTTGCATATTACTTTCTGATGTTTTTGTGGACAAGAGGGTATGTGTGAATGCAAGTGTTTAATTTAAAACTGTATGAGTAACCACAGAATGTGCCATGGCCCCCCTGCCCGCCCTCCTCCCCAGCTCCGCGGTCCCTGTATCAGAGGCCTATTTTCGTTTCTATATTTTAAGACTTTCACGTTTTGGCATCTACATTACAATGTTTCTGGAGGTTCTTTTTACATTGCTAAAGGTAAGATGGAGGTTTCTGATTCTTTAACTTCCGTACACTTCCGTAGATTCTCCCTATTATTGACAATTTCTTCTCCTTTCATGTCTTGCAACTAACAATTTCATCATAATCAAAATTTATTCCATACAATATCAATGAAAAAATAAATGTCATTAATTGCAGTTATAGTACAAGTTAATACAAGTTTAACGCCTTCCAACAGCACTGCTAGAAAGAGCGTCTTAGAATGAGTACAAAGATTGGAATTGCTAAATGTTGTAAATTGAAGAAAATAAAGCCCAGTGAAGTTCGCAAATTTTGTATATATTTGTATTACGAGCGGTAAAAATAACCACTTAATTCGGCTCAAAAATGGTTATTTTTACCGGACGTAATAGTAGTAATACAAATATATACAAAATTTGCGAACTTCACAGGGCTATATTTTCTTCATTTTACAACAATTCGCAACCAATCTCGTTCTTCTTGCCTTGATCAAAATTTATTCTATAGCTGGAAGTGCCTATTCATGATCGGCCCTTGTAATGTTGTCACATATGAACAGATCATTAATCTGGCAACTTATTTTATTGGATAATTTTGCAGGTGGTGTCAGCGTTCGGATTGTTGTTTATTTGTTACTCTGTCACGTTTTTTGTCATCTTCACGACAAAGGTAAAGTGTGTACACAAGTATCTATCTAGTTGCGGCATTGTTGCAGCATAATCTACAATCCTAGAAAAAGTGGTTAGCACGCTCATTTAGCAAGACAGGTAAAGGTGTTCATTTTAATAAAGTCAGGATGATGACCTTGGTTAGGACAAAAAATACTGTCAGATATAATAGAGTGGTGCCCATATTAGGGAGATGTCCGAGTTAGAGAAAAGTGCTCATACTAGAGAGGTTTCTGTATTAGAATGATGGTCCGTATTATAATGATGTTCGGATTTGAGAGGTTTCTGTATTGGAGTCTTGGAGTATTCGTGTTGGAGAGATGTCCGTATTAGAGCTGATTAGAGAGATGTCCGTATTTGATAGGTTTCCGTATTAAAGAAGTATTCGTGTTGGAGAGATGTCCGTATTTGATTGATGTCCGTATTTGAGAGGTTTTGGTATTAAAGAAGTATTCGTGTTGGAGAGATGTCCATATTAGAGAGATGTCCATGTTAGAAAGATGTCCATGTTAGAAAGATGTCCATAGTAGAGAAGTGCGCCTGCATTAACCCAATAAGCTCTAGCCCGCTCTCTTTGAAGAGTAAAATCGTCTGGCGCAGGAGGACGCGAACTGCAAACTTAAAGAGGCATCCGTATTAGAGAGGTGTCCTTCTTAGAGAAGTTTCCGTATCAGAAAAGTGTTCGTCTTGGAGAGAAGCTTATATTAGAGAGGTGTTCGTGTTAGAGGTGTGTCCATGTTTGAGAGATGCTAGTATTGGAGAGGCTTAGGGGCCGTTTACATGATGGAAGGCGGGATGATTTTCATGTATTGAAATAAGTCACCAGACTAAACGACAGTTCAAATGCTGGTTAACAGGTGTTGCAGAGAAGATCTTGTAGTAGAATCATGTACTGTGACTTTTTTCAATACATCAAAATAATCCTGCCTCACATCTCACCTGGCAAAGCGGGGTAATATAAACAGCATCTTAGAAAGGTGTTAGAGAGCTGTCTGTAAGAAGTGGTTCAATCACAAGTGATATTGATCATTTTAACCACAGGATGCAAGTGAATTCAGAACGTTTGACGATTCAACTCTGAAAGTGATAGCCATGACGATGGGTGAACTAGACTACACTGGACTTCGTGAGAAAGCTGAATATTTATCAGATGATATGCAAACTATTGTTATTCTTGTTTTCATCATATTTTGTATCACCATGTCCCTCGTTGTCAACAACCTTCTGGTAAGTCACTGATAACACGTACACGTTCCACTAAAATTCAACCTGAATCCATGCAAAACAGTCTCGTAACACTCAACAATACCTTACAGCCCTGTTATGTCGAACTCGCTTACAGTCAGTGGAAACGGCTCAAAAAATTTGACCGTACCAACCGGGTATCTTTATGAGTATTCCATCGTCTGTTTTAGATTGGCTTGGCAGTCGGTGACATTGAATTGGTCCGAAAGACTGCTGAAATTAAACTACTTTCATTGCAGGTAGAGAAGAATAATTATGCATTTACTCGTTTAATTAAACGCCGTCCCCGATGAAGCTCTACCCTCGAATAAGTGCCGCTCTTACAACAACGCGGCGCTTAATCGAAACACCGTCCGAACGAATTACAGTGTATCTCAATCGATGATCAGTCTCGGAGTAAATATGGTAATAACGATTAACGAATGATCCGCTGAAGGGCCGATTACACTTGCAATTTTTTCCACTGCGATTTTCTTCTTCTGATGGATGTGAACGAGTAGATGAGTTATGAATGCTCTGAGTGCATGTCCCCTTATCTGAACATTCATTACTCATCCACTCGTTCACATCCATCAAAAATGAAAATGTAATTTATTCATTCTTAGGTCAACGATATTGTCGAATCCAGGTCTAAAATGATGAGTTGCAGATTCCGGAGGTTTTTTTACGTGAAAACTGTCACAGAAATGCCAAACAAGGACGACTGCGAAACAGATCATCGACAGAAGGAACACGTAAGCTATTACCTCCACCACGGGTTTATGTTCTTCACCTCAGTCCCTTGGAGGGGGGATGTTCAATCTAGGGGATCTGGCGGCATGCTCCCTCAGACTTGGGCGGGGGGGGGGGGGGACAAACACATAAATTCCGAAGACGAGCACTTAAATGGCGCAACAACCCTTGGCGGTGCAGGGGCATTTAAAATTTCCAGGAGAAATTTTCCCGAAGAAAACAATTTTATCGTAATTCCAGACATTGCAAGTCCTTCCCTTTTTTGTGATTTAAATTTAAACTTTTCACAACAACAGTTCTGAAGGTCATTGTCCCCTTCGGCTATGCCTTTGGATGTGCATTTGGATGTCTGGCCATGCTCCTTATGAAACATGGATAATGTGTCGTAAACATATATATATTTTTATGTATAGTCATATACAAAACCTTGCAATTATATTATGATTTTACTTTTAAGAATTTTCCCGGGTTTTGTTTCAGATGCCACACAATAAAAAGAAGATAGAACTGGTTTGTTGAATGATATTGGGACTAACCGAGACGAACTGTAGCCGATGCTGTTAATGTTTTGTTAGGTACACTCTGGGATGGTAATTCGCCACGATATAATGCGAGTTTAGACGATTTAAGATAAAATTTCGGCTAATTTTTGGTTGCGAGCTTAGGCGGTTTAATGAAGCGAGCTAAGGCAAATTAAGGTTCCGGAGCAAGTCTTTTGTTAATGCATATACGTACCGTATTATTTAGTATTATGTTACTATACAGTACTGGCACTGCTATCCAATTCGCCATTGGTGGCAGATTGAAGACTTGTAATTTATATGAAGTAATTCCTTCGTAGAAGTATTATGTCTATTTATGATAAACAGCGAACTAGGAAACATTGTTGTATTTGTTTCCTCGAAACATTTGTCAGTAGTGTGGAATATATATTACGTCTCATTATTAAAAGACTTAAAATGTGTTCGCTAAAAAAGATACGCATGCGTGCTGTGGTTTGTCCAGACCACTGATCTAATAGTAGATTGAGTGGTCCAGACACGATGAAATATGCACAAGCGGGCACTTTGTTGATAAATGGCACGAAGTACAGTAGCCCTCCTTTGGTTTTCCTTCTCCCCTCTCGGGTCTCGCCCTGACCAAGCTTCTGACAGTGGCAATAGAAAAGTCCTGGACGCTAAAAATGTCAATTAGCCTTTCTCACGCCGCCATTTTGGGGTACTGTAATTTTTCGTAAACGATTATAACACAGAATACATACCGGACCAGAAGTGACACTCCTATGTGTTTTGGCTGAAGGAAAACGTCCGAAATTTTTTTACGTGCTATGACGCCATCCTGGAGTGCACACGGCACTTTGTACCTATGCTTGGCCTATGAAAAACTTCCGTGTGCACTCCAGGATGGCGTGATATGATGGCGTATTTTCACGTCAGCACTCGTAAAATTTCGGACAAAATATCGTCTGAGTGACACTTCTGGTCCAGTATCTATTCTGTGATTATAACAATGTGAAAAGCAATATTTCAGAACAAACTAACTATTTACAGAGTAAATTTACCATCATACACCCATAAAATTATAAAATGTCGCCGTTACGTCACTCTCCTCCGCAGAGGCTTTTTTGTTTTCTTTCTATATATAAAGTTTGACTTGCGGGCAGTAAGTGTGATTCCCTATTATCTCCAAATGTCCACAATGCCCCCTTTTAACCCCGCGCGCTCGCTCCGCCCGCGTGCCCACTTCTCTGCCTAGCCCGCTACTGCCCGCAAACTCTATAGTCAAACTTTATATATACAGAAAGAAAACAAACTACAATATAGAAAGAAAACAAACTACAAAGATCTACAAAGCCTCTGCGGAGGAGAGTGCCGTTACGTGGTGTTACGCCCGCAGGGTTGGCAAAAAAGTACCCCAAAAATGGCGACGTGAGAAAGGCTAATTGGCAGAATTTCCCGCCAAAATCTGAGCGCTCCAGTGACACTGATCTCTAAAACGACCAGAGAAAACGACCGGAAATGAAAATATAAATTCAAAATTTCTCGAATTTGCACGTTGTTTGACCATGGTTGTTTGACCATGGCTGTCTGACTTTAGTATAAAAAGTTGAGAAAATGTTTAATACTTCTGAACTTTCTCGCTCCACTCTGTCGCCTTTTACACCGAGAAATACGTCAAGAAGAAGTATCAGTTCTCCTGGACAGTCTAGCAGATTATTCCCTCGTTCAAGCAGGTAAAGTATGTTGTTATTTTGTTCTTGTGTGGTGAATTTTGAGATTAATTTAAACAATTGTAAATTGTCATCTGATTACTAGTATATTGTAGCTTTCGTACAGTTCCGAATGTGGTTAATTATTATGTAACACTTTCAAATAAAGCAGTTTGACAGTTTATGGTTGTCTACATGATGCTGCATTCAGCATTGAAATAGCTTTTCAAATATTTTTTCAAATAGCTTAATTTCAGCATTCAATTTTTTTATATTAAACCAAGATAATCTTCCAGGGTGAATTTGAGGGTGTATTTCCGAAAGGTCTTTGCACGTTTTTAGCACAGATTGATTGCGGATCTTGATTTGGTGCAGAATGATCCCAAAGATCTACACTAACATACTACTTAATACAGGCATTGTTGTAATATCATATAATTATGATTTCACTTGTCAAGGGGGAAATCGAGTGCTGATGCCCAATGGGTTAATCAGACTATCTGTGCATGTGTCTAGTTAACCAATTAAGTTGCCTGCACATCACATGTATATATACTTTATTGTTACTCTACCATGTCTAACACCAGACAATTTCACTTGTCAAGGGGAGAGTGCTGGTGGTCAGTGGGTTAGAAACCATCATAAGGGAAATAATTTTCTATTCAGCTGCCAGAGAGTAGCCTCCTCCGCAGGCATCTCACCCGAGGAATCGGGTGGTCCAGAATTTTTTTTTCAAAACCAATTTGCAAGCTAAAACCCATAGACAGGCCTGTGGAGCCTCTATCACCCTATTTTACCAGGGCCTAAAAAAAATACCTGCGGTTCCGGTTTCATATTGTGAAAAAATTAGGGTATAGGTAGGTCAGAAATAAATTTTTTTTTGAATATTTTTTTCATGTTTTTGGCGGTTTTTTGCTGGGCAATTTTCAGTAGAGTCTCAACATCAATATGAACTAGAGATGTGCATTTCCTATGGACGGATTTAGGCAATTTGGTTCAATAATTATTGTGACGCTGTATGAGCAGCCCGCAACCACCCAGAGAAAATAGGGTCGCATGGTCAATCGTATTGAAAAAAATAATAGGGTCGGCAGAAAAAAATAGGGTTGGTCGGGCAACCAGAACCACAGGTATATCTTTTTAGGCCCAGTGGAGAATAAATGTTTCCCTGCATCTTGCAAAAATAGAACTTTCAGGTAGTAACAGCAGACATTCCAACTCTCCTGATTTTACCGGGAGTCTCCTGAAAATTCATGCAATCTCCCGGTCTCCCGATTTTTATCAAATTCTCCCGATTTTTCAGAATATTCAGGAAATATCATAAAAAATTATAAATATACTGTTTTTAGCAACATAATAGTCTGTCTTGACCTTTTTTGAAGTTGCTTTATGGCAATTTATAGGATCACTTATAACAACATAGTCCCAAAATGCAGGAAATGCCATTTCAGAAGACTTAATTTTTATTATTTTTTCCCCAGAAGAACTAGATTTCAATTCACTGAACAGTCTTCCTAAATTTTACCTCCAGTGGTTGGAATGTCTGTAACAGGCAAGAAAAAATATTAATGACCTGGTTTTTCTAAATGTCAATGACAGATCAAACACTCCATCTCAGAGGCCGTCCATTCCAGCAAGAGTTATAGAAGAAACACCTCTACATCGAGTTGAAACTTATGGACTTGCATTACCAGTACAAGTGAATGAAATTGTCGCTGCAGCCAATGAAAGTATGCCTGAAAAGATGTTTTACTTAATGTAGTGCATGAATTTTGAAATTTAAGCACTACTCAATTGGATACTAGCAACTTGAAATCTGATATCCACCCAGAAAATCTGCTATCCCTATGTAATGATGCACACTAGCTAATACCCATTGGGTCTTTCCTCTTGGGAAGGAAAGACCCTGGTAGGAGCTGGTCACATGATCTGCTAGAATATAGCAGATTTTTAATTACCTGTAGCATTGGTATCTACATTTAGGAGGGGTGACAATGTAGCAGTTAACTTTTGCCATGTGTACTATATGTGTTGTTTGCTCAAATAAACATGAAATACCCAAAAGTGTGCATTGATCAATGCAGTGCTACTATTTCATACTTTTGCACCCAGAGATCCCTTGCTGAAGACTAAAGTTTTCTTACATTATAAAACATTATCAACCTTGTGGCCAGGGTCTTCCCCCTTGGGGAGGAAAGACCTAGGTAGAAGCTGGTCATGTGATTTGCTAAAATCCAGCAGATTTTTAATTCTAGATAAATCATCAAAGTAAGGTTGATAGCTCTAACTTAGTATTAATGTATTTTACTCTCAGGAACTCCTCCTGTCAGTGTACATTTAGATCCATCAGGCTGGGCATGGTTGGTTTTTGAACGAAGATTGCTAGTTTGGCGATATCAGTCCACAGAAAAATCAAAGGTTTTCATTATGAATTTTTTACTTTGTAATTTCCACTTGGGATGGAATGGCATTTGTTGTATTGTTTGGAGATTTGGACAAAACGTTTGGGAAAACCTCATCAAGATCATTCCTTAATGTTTTTAAAGAACAATATTCATAGTTCTTTTTTGATTGTTGAGATTTTAAAACAGTAAGCTCTCTCTGACTGTAAAGTGCAGGAAATGCTGTCTCACAGACTGTAATTTCAAAATTGTGCCAGAAATTAGTATTGCTTGGGATCTGTCCATAGAATTTTGTATTGTCCTCTTTTGCTGCATGGGCAGCTATCATATATATTTGGGTTAGTGTTACCTCAAGTGCCAGAGGCAACCCTTATATTATGGCTTATGCATAATACTGTATTACAATTTGCAACCCAAAAAAGGATTACTGTAAATGTTAAATTTGCATTCTAAAGTCAATTTCACATTACAGTAAGATTATTGAGTCAGGATGTACAATTTTTTCTTCATTTAAGGCAACATTTTGTAAAGAGTTTGTACTACCACCAACAGAACTATACCACAGTGCCAAACTAGTGTGCTTGGTTGGTGCGCCAGGTGTAGACTCTCGACAATATGGAGTGCTGGCTGTCTCACCTGAAGGCTTGGTTTGTTATTGGCCAAGTATGATGTATGAAAGTAGTCCCATCGAAACTGAAACTGAATTGGTTGGACAAGAATTTCATTCATTAGTTGAATTCCAGGTAAACATGCCTGCAAGATATCCTGTGCAATAAGAATGGCAACATTTGAAATAACAACAAACTTCCATTTGGTAATTGACTCATTTCACTGTTTTACATTACTTTTATAGCCTCATGGATACATCCTGTCTACAACAACAAATGATATCCTGTTGTTGTCTATTCAAAAGGTTTGCAAGTGTCAAATAATTGCAAAATCCATATCATGGTGTTCATACTGTAGGTTGTACATAATTATCTTGCTCTAAATTGTTTTCTGTCTTTGACGTTTCCTTTACTAATGTCAACTAGAAATCTATCTCATTTCATCGTTTCCGACAACCTGGTGGAGTGCTTTCAGGATTTGGTCGAAGGATGTCGTTGTTCATCTTTGGTGGAGAAGAATCAAGTTCCTCGGTTGGTTAACAGTTTAGTTGTGTTAGGCTTTAGTGAGTGTTTACTATGCAGAGTGTAAATAAAAGACAATTATTCTAAAATGGGTAAATATTAAAAATTTTCGGCATCTCTGATTTTTTAGGTTCTTCGTAAAATCGTGGTTGAAAAAAATAGCCAAGGATCTTCAAGGTTTGGCAATATTTAGTATTCTGTTTTTGATATTACTCTGAGTGTATATTCACACCAGGCAGGCTGAAAAGTTAGCCTGACCATGGTGGGAATTGAACCTGCGACCTTTGGGATACTAGTCCTTGTAGCTCAGTTGGCAGAGCATTGGACTAGTGTCCCAAAGGTCGCAGGTTTGCTTCCCACCATGGTCAGGCTAACTTTTCAGCCTGCCCGGTGTGGATATACTGTACACTCAGAATAACATCAAAACACACACAAAAAATAATATTTAGTATTGTTGCTTTAATTAACGTTTTAGCATTAAGGAGTGCATAGACCATTATAGATATCCTGGGAGTGGTTGGCAGATCCCAAAAAAACTTTCATGCAAACAGTGGAGCTTGAAAAAAAATCATCAAGCATTTAGGGAAAGAAAAAAAGAGAAATCTATAGAACAAAATCCTGCACATGCAGCTTCTACACCGTAAAAAAGTTCGACTAAGCACCAAACTTGCAAGGGAGATTTTCTCTCCCAGAATATTTAATGGTCCACTTCTAAGAAGCGTTTTTAGTGTCCGCCATTTACATACTAGGGAACTTTAGTCTTTAGATTCGCTACGGCTACGAAATCTGGTGCGACTACGAGATTTTTCCCGTTAAATATCTGCTACTACAGACTTTTTATCGTCCTTCTTTTGCATACCACATCTTTATAGCAACAGTTGCGCCAAACCAAGTACTATTATAAGTTTTTAGTAGCTGATATTTAATGGAAAAAATCTCGTAGTCGTACTAGATTTCGTAGCGAATCTAAAGTTCCCTACTATTACGATCTAAAGTTCCCTGCTATTACGATGAAGACAGAGACTAATCCGCGAAAAATTCAGGACCATTCAGCCGTTCATTTCTTTTTATATGAAGTTTGCAAAGAGCTTGCAGCTCTTTTTCGTAACCAGTGTGTGCGTTAGTTTTATAAACTATAACCTGCTTGTTTCTCATGCATGAAGAAGAAGAAACCCGTATCTATCCTTTAGGTCAGTATTTTTTTGCGTAATAATTAGTGATTTAGCTATTTTGTCATTTGGCATTGTCTTGTTTTCAGAAGCTTTTATGTTCTCTCCGGAAATACTCTTCGCAAGTGGAGTGTAGAAAGTCAAGGTGGCAGCATTAGTGAAAAGGTGACTCATAGAGGAACTGTTTTATGTTTTAACGATGTTAGTTGCAGTTAATCTGTGTAATTTTTCAATTGTGAATGTCTGAGCAAAACAAAGCCAGGGCTGTAACGGAAGCTGCGTACTGTATCTTTGCCTTTGGGAAACGTCTGTTATCAGATGAATTATTTTCTTCTTTGCCCAAGGGCACCTGCCATCCAGGCTCAACCATCTGTATATTGTTCTTATAGGACGAATCTTGTTCAGTAAATTTGAATCACTGATCGACAATGTTCGCTTGTTTGTTTCAGACTGAGGTAGACTGGAATGTTGGCGCTCTTTTTGACCAGAAAACTTCACAAAGATTTCAGGTTTACATAAATATTATTTTATGCACACAGAATCGTACAGTACAGTGGAGCAGTCCGCTCTATACTGTGTTATTCCAGTCTTTGGCAGTTTCTTTTATATTTAATTTTACTTTGTTATTAGGTTGGATTGGATAAAGTCAAGTCTTTCTGTATTGACGCTCAAGAATCCAGGTACATGCGTAAACCAACTCCAAAAATCATGTGGAAACCGTGAAGCTACAGTAGCTGTTTAACAACTCCAAAAATCCTATAGCTAAAAAATATCTGCAGCACGTGCACTCTCCTCTCATCCTCCACACTCACACACCAGAAAATTCTTGATTTTGTCTCTATGGAATAACATTTCCCTAATTCAGACAGCACTTATCTCTCCAATATATTTCTTTAGTTCTGGAATCTCAGTCTTGTCAGCGATGCTTGTACAAAATCCCGAAATTGATGAAGCACGCATGTATTATTTTCTTGGTATGTTCAAAAATGTTAGACAGCACAGCCGCCTTGTGATCCTCTTTAGAGGGGTTAGTTGAACAGGAAGATAGATGAATAAAATTAAGATTTTGTATTCTTATAGTATACAATTTGTCATACTGCAGTATCATTCACTGAGCTTTAGGAAGCGTATATGTTTGAGTGATTATGGGATGGGGTACTGTAAGCAATGAATGATTTCAGCTGTAGACGAAATTTTGATCTGGACAAGAAGAACGCAATCCATTACCATCGCTGGAACGCGCATCTTAAAATGAGTAAAATTGCAAAGTTTGGTTGCGAATTATTGTAAAATGAGGAAAATATAGCCCTGTGAAGTTCGCTAATTTTGTATATATTTGCATTACGCGCGGGAAAAATAATCATTTTTGAGCCGAAAGTGGTAATTTTTTACCGCGCGTAATACAAATATATACAGAATATGCGAACTTTACAGGGCTATATTTTCTTAAATTTTACAATATTTAGCAACCAATCTTTGCAGTTTTACTCATTCTAAGACGCTCTTTCTAGCTGTGGTGTTGGATTTCGTTCTTGCCTTGATCAAAATTTAGTCATTTAGCTGGAATCACCCATTGGTTCATTGGTTGTATCGCACGCAACAGCCAATCACCTGTGTGATCGTTCTTTTCTTCGAAAGGCACCATTGATGTTGACGAAGATAGTGATACACTTGGACGCTTTATTTCCTTTGTACAACTCAGATTTGCTGAAGAATATAAGGTGGGGATCGCGTACTTGTCTATCGTAAGTAATTCTAAGGGCCTGAATCTTTCGTATGTACCGCTATATTTTCCGTATTTTACAACATTTCGTAACCAAATTTTGCGATTTTACTGATTTTAATAAGTTCTTTCCGGGAATTTACTTTTTTTGCCTAGATCAAAAATTAGTCTAACATGCAAGTTGTCTATTGTCAAGCAATACTCTATACTGAATATAGATTTGTTTATTTCTTGCAGGAAGAGCTACATCAAAGACTTGTGGATTTCCACGTGCTTATCCCAAACACGAGTAAACACGCCTTCTTGTATAGCGATAATATTATTGTCCCTTTTTCAAGTAAGTAATATGACATTGCAAGATTACTTCCAATGAAATGAGTCCTTTAAAAAAAAACATGACCAGCCGACAATTTAAAAAAATAAAGTAAAAAACAAATTCCGAAAATACAGGACATCTTGAGAATTCAATATATAATTCAAAACAAGACGCAGTTTGAGACTGTAAATTTTCGACTTTATTTCAAAGTCCTCTTCAGACAGAAAATCATTCTGTCTGAAGATGACTTTGAAATAAAGTCGAAAATTTACAGTCTCAAACTGCGTCTTGTTTTGAGTCCTTTTAGTGAATGTTTTTTTTTCATACTTTTTAAAATTTTTGTTTGAAGTTAAAACTACTGATGATGTGTTGAATAAAGTAGAATTTCTCGCAGAACAAGAGGCAATCTGGGGGTCTGGTAAGTGTACAAACACGGTCTTAGTCCAGTTGTCTTATGGACGGCCATCCTAGAATTTGGACCACCACATAAAAAAACGGCTTGTGAACGGCTGATTATAAATGGAAATCGCCCGACCATGGGTATATTGATAGATGAATAAAAGATAAATAGAAGGAACACATCATCTAGACATTGCAAGTATTTCTGGAATTGAAATTTTCATTCTGTCGTTCAGGCTTGTTTTTAAGATTGTTATTTTCTTGTATCCAGGCTTTTCAGAAGATGCAGCGTTATTTTTCGTGAGAAAACATGGCATTGTCAATATAACAGCAACAACAAACACTGAATCTGAGAGGTGTGTGACGCTTTCTTGGGAAGGAATGGGACATATATTATAGTTCTATTACAACAGATATTGATGCCCCAAATCCTCCTCCATTCCAGAAGCTAAAACCTCCAGGGACTTCGGTGGCGCAGTAGTCTGAGTACGCGCCTTCCACCTCTGAGTTCGTGGGCTCGATTCTCGCTACGGACTCATGTGAATAGAGTCAGTCAACGCTCTGCCGAAAGTCGTGGGTTTTCTCCGGGTGCTCTGGTTTCCTCTTACAGGGAAAGTTGACAGGGTGGATTAGGATAAACATAATTAAGAAAGTAACATCACAATTGTTGTAAAGATAGATATAGTCTAGGGCTAAGTAAGTAAATGTAAGCGTAATACTTTGATGTAATCGGTCACTGAAAAGCCCCAATGAGGAGTGAGCTGAATAGAGTTTACGCATGTACGACGGCGGCGTCAGGACGAAGGCTAAACAAACTTTTTGAAATAAATGATTGTATGAAAATGTTGTCCTGCATTTACTTTAATATGAATTTAATACAGTTTAGAACGAGTAAAACAGAGCTTTAACCTTCAGAGCAATTTTGATCAACGCTGTTAGAAAAATCGCATGCCACGGCTTGAAATGCTAGCGTACTTTACAAGACGCGAAAATATGCATTTTGTCGTCGTCAACAGAGCATGGACGACGTCTGAAACTCCAGATATACTTTTAATTATCCATTTCTTTTGTGCTATAGGATTAATGATATTGTATTGATAGCCGTCGTCCTGATGCTGCCGTCTTACATGCGTAAACTCCCTAATAATACCACACCGTAAACTGTGCTTAAAGCGCATTTACAAGCAGTGGCAGGATCAACTCACAGTATAACATGACTAATTTGTTCTTTCTTTTTCTACCATAGTGAGACAGTGCCTCAATCTGTTGCACATCAGGTAAGTTTGTTCTAAATAACTCAAGCTTGTTTATTTTTTAATAAGAAGTACCATTACAGTGACTCAATATTAATATCCCCATGGGCGTTCTTTTGTTGTTTAGCTCGCATCTGATACAACAGTACGGGAAGACAAAGTCAGCGGTGGTGATAACTTGACTACCTTAAGAACGGCATTTCTACAGTTTTGCCAAGGAAATAAGGTGAAGTGCGGACTTATAATATTTTAAATTTGGTTCTCTGCTTGGGCTATTTTGTCAAGAAAGGGAAAATTGGGGAAAGCAAATAAAAAGTACAGTGTGTGTTATCAGCCACGGTGCCCTATGATGTCATAATTGTAAAGGGAAAAGCAGTGTTTTACAATATACTACACTTTTAGTATTACATATTATCCAATACTATCGCAGCTAGGATTTATATTCTCAGTAAAGCAATCTTGTATCAAGAACTTTTAAGGGCCTTCGTTTTTGGGGGGCCCCTTTTGAGCTGGGGGGCCAGGGCAAAGTGCCCCTTGGTGCCCCTGTGCACTCACATCCTCGTTTGATCGGAGTTTTGATTTTACACGAACGACAAGTACGCTAGAGCTGTAATACTGAGTGAAAGCCTAGTGATTATTATATTATGTTGTTATATAGGATCAAGCTCAAACAATGTGTGAAGACCAATTTGAAGAGATCACACAGCGCGAAGGTGTTTCAAGCTTAGACTCTGCAGTTGTGAATGTCAGTCAAGAAATTATTGATGATTATCCTGCCTCAGATCCCAGATGGGCTGAGGCTGTTCCTGCAGGTTGGCATACATGTTTGATAGTCAAGAAATGAACATTGCAAAATATGCCTTTGAGTAGTTTGACTCAAAAGCTTTCAGGAGTGAAATATACTGTAACTGTTATAGTTCTCTGTGAGTAAAGTGAGTAAATATAACTGTAATAGTTTTTCTGCCCGTGCAATTTGCCAACCCTCATGAAAACGCCCTGGATTTTAACAGCCTGTATAATGCAAACCAATAAATTAAAACTGAATATACTGTATGTTCTTTGACAATGTATAGATTCTGGCTCGTCGTCAGCTTCTCTCATCATCATTCATCAGTTGGAAGACAAACTCAAAGCGCACGACTACTTCGTGCAGTTTTTGAAAGAGGTTTTGCTGTTTCAAAAGGTTCGATATTTAAATGCCTGTTCAAACGAGACCAACATGTTGATCGTCATGACTTTTTTTGAAGCGAGCAATCGTTTGTAGTAGCCAGACTAACATCATTATTGCATGCAATATTATTGACCTAGATTAAACACTACGAAGGGTAATATGCTGCCTGATGTTGGATTGAGTTTGACTTTGTTTAAGATTTTCATCCAACGTTGTGCATCATCGTTGGATCAACAATATTGGACGAACAATGTTGGACTCGGGGCTTACATTGTGTAAATTTTAATTCAGCACCCTTCAAGAAGAAAAATATTCTGATTCATCAGATGATTGTGTGTTTTATTACAGCTCACCACAGTTCAGCAGTTTGGAAGAGTAGTAAATACAAGACATTTATTGTGTAGTCATGCCGAGAAACTAAAGTTTGCAATAGCTTTGAGACGACAACATAACAAGTAAGTAGCATGCTATTTGCTTTTGATATATGCATGTGCTTATGCAAACTGTTAAAGATGCATTTTTCGCTAATAACTCGTGTAGGTCTAACGATGTATATCATTTTCACTCGACATTTTCATCTTCAAAAAACGCTTCAATATTTTAGTTCTACCGAGTGAGATGCCTAAATCCTGATGCTTCTGTATTGATGTTGTCAATGAAACGTATTGTCATATTTCAGATATCAAGAGTTAGTGGATGGTGCAATTGAGTTAGCTATGAAACACCGAGATCAAGAATCTGCTCCAAAAGGCCTGACTCAGCAAGACCTGTTCTACCGCGAGGTGACTTTTCTGACTTCCACCTGCCTGCATATTTCATTGGAAAGCTTTCTTAATTTAGTGCGAAATTTGACTCCCACTACATGCAGTAACCACAGTAGCACCCCCCCCCCTTCCCCCTCCCTTTCAATGTTGTGTGTAGTGTATTAGACTTCCAAGGTTTTACGCAACATTGACAACTTCCAAGGTGTTACGCAATACTGGGCATAAAATGCGCAAGAATGTATATGGCGCCAAGGATTTTTGACCAAGATTGTACTGTAGTTCCTATGGTGAAAAAGTGTTGCTTTAACTACTACAGTAATATTCGCCATCGTTATCTTCACTCGTGCAATGGTTAGTGCTCCAGTTACATATGGAGTTCACTGACTTAACCTAATCATTCTTGCTCATTCTTGAATCTTGCAGGTTAGCCGTATTTCTGACGTCATTTCCGGATTATTAGAATGTGAAAAACATAAGTTGTCCCAACAACCAACACAGCAAGCCTATCAGGAGATTATAATGGCTGCAAACAACATATTGGAGGTAAGATATATACATGTATGGAAATCCATGTGTTGGCCAGTTTGTTTCCGACGGCACTGGAAACGTCGCTGGTTGGTTTAATTAGGCTTTCTCACGCCGCCATTTTTGGGTGGCTTTTCAGCCGAAGTCTGCGAGATAAGTCCACATAACAGCGACTTTTTATAAATTTTTTGACGAATGATGGTAAATTTGCTTTGTATAGTTTATTCTGAATAATTGCTTTTCACATTGTTTTAATTGTCTGCATCGGTTAACGAGAATTATATGCCACCCACTCATCGTGAGAAAGGCTAATTAAACAAAAGCAAACTCGTGACATTCTTCATGTTTCTTTCCCAGAGTGCACTAACAGAGGCCTGGCAATATCGACAAGCAAGCGAGGAAGTTTACACAACGTCTCGGGATGATGATATTGACGTGGAGTTTTTACCATGGACAGGTACGTTAACACTTGATGATAAAAGTTTTAAAAAATGAAACTATATATCTCTCAATTATATATTCATTTCTTCCACATAGAAGAAAAGCTATCACATACAATGAAAAAAATTAAGTTTGTTTTGCTATATTTTCTTACTCCGATAACTGCCGATTATTCTACGTGGTAGTGTTTATCAGTGCCGCCGAGAGGTTGCGCGGGGTCTGGGGCACCAACTCCTTCTCAGAGGCACAGAATAAAGATCAGTAACAGAAGGGCCACTCAGCGGTGCAACGTGTCCTCGTTTTTTTATGCAAAAATATGCAGTTTACTGGCCAGAAGGCGGAGCAGCCAGCCAGTACAGCGTGTTTATTGGCCAGAAAATGTCATTGACTGGCTAGGAAAATGGCGGCCAACACGCGTAATGCGACATGCGCGAGGACAGAAACATCAAAGCTTCCGACGTAAGTGGCCCTTCTATATGGATCTTTATTCTATGTCAGAGGGCCCCTATGTCATCATTGTAAAACGGGAGAAGCGATGTTTTACATTATATTACACTTCATTGCATACTTATTGTTATATCATGGCTGTATCGGACTTGTTGGAACAACTTTGAAACAAATCTGGTAATATCAACAAGATTGTTACAACTGTTAATTTAACAAGTTGTTCCATACTTGTTGACAACTTGGGACAAGCTGTGAGAACACAACTTGTTGACGGCTTGTTGGCAGATTTATTACAACATGTGTGATCTTTGCGTGTATACATAGATGGCAGTTAGTGAAATGCAGGAGTTTTGTTTTTTTAACAGCCTCAAGCGGACCTGAAGGAACCAGGACACTACTGTTGGAACAGGTTTGCTATTAAGATCAACGTGTCAATATATGTAGTATTTAACAAGCGGTAAAATTGAGATATACAGTATAATAAATATACCCGAGTACAAAAATCCACAACATTTTTTAAATTTTATTTTATTAGCTTGAAGTTTCCATTGAAAGAGCACTTCCGTTAGCTGAAGACCAAAAGGTAGAGCATGAGATCTGATCGATTAAAGTCAATCAAACTACACACGTAAAAACGCACAAATTGTAACAAACCTGCCTCGTAGCAATGTTGTTTGGGCAACTTGTCAACAGGATGTGTTCGCACCATGGGCGGCAGCCCCCCCCCCCCCCCCCCCCCCCCCTC